GACCCATGCAAGCACGGGTCAAGTGACAGAATGTCTGCCTGGCAAGTAGGAAGCCCTGTGCTCAAAACCCTGGCACCATGCCAAAAAAATAAAGGGGTGGGGGGCATTGAGAATTTAAAAGTTTAAATAGCTTCCCACCCACGTGTCTAGTATAGAGGTAGGACCAGGACTAATGTTTTCACTCCTCCTGTGGCATCTGGAAAAAAGCAATTTTCAGGTTCGTTGAGAAGAAGTCACAGAGAAGCAAATTACAAACCATGTAAGCTGGCAGCAGTCACTCAAATAGCAAAAACTATTATTATTCAGATTAGGGTCATGATGAGTAGTGATTTTCAAGCTACCATTACATTAATTTTCTGAGGACATGCTCTAATTTAGAAAATATTGTATTCCAGAACCCTAAAGAAGTCTGCCATTCCACTGTTTAAGGAAATCAAATGAAGCAGAACATAGTGTTTCTGACAGAAACTATTTTGATTACACAGTAAATAAAAGTAGAAATTTCTGTTTTCTTATTATACACAGAATTAATAAGAAAAACTGTCCTTAGCACTTCTATATTGAATTAATAACAAGTCTGTGATATATTTAAATGTCCCATCATTGTCTTGCTGCAAGCTAGCCTAGTTTAAATTATACATTTCAAATACTTTACATAAAATGGATTCCTGGAATGAAGCTGTCCAACTATTCTCTTTTTCCTACATGTAACAAATCAAGCCTTATGATATCATCAGTCTAAGAAATAATGAGGTACTACTCCAACAACTGAATAGACCAAGATTAAAAGATTAAACCAAGATAAAATGTTTCAATCAAAACCTCTAGAACTGTTTGATCCATAAATACAAAGGACCAAATTCAGGACATCTTGGTATAAGTGATCAAACTTGATCATACTAATGATTATGTTATTCTTAGTCCCAAACCAATCACAATTTCTATTTTAATAACTCCTGTTTCAATAAACCCAATCTGAACCCTAGAAGCAGTTCTCTAGCTACTGTTGCAATAATTCCATTGTCTAGGAGTTGCAGACACAAACTATTATCATTTGTCACATCCAAATCATCCACCTCATTTCCCTTGGGACAATAGCAATGTTCTTTCCAGTCCCAGCTGGAGCTAAGGAGGCAAGGGGCTGTAGCCATTGTTCATCAAGTACAGAGGGAGGGGATGTGGGCCTGGTCACCCCATCTTGCCACCTATCATGAGGACAGTGCTGCTTTCACAGGCTGCATACAGAATGGATGTGGAAAGCAGCATGTCAGAGTAGACTAAGGAATATTGTCCATGCTAATCCTTCCACAAGAAAGGGACAGAGAAGGGACAGGGAGGAGCTGAACGACCTCAGCGGCTGAGAGCTGCTTCTTCTTGCCCGTAACTGTCCCCCTCTCCGAGTGTAAGATGCCGAGTGTCTGGCTTCTTACTCAACCGAATATAACAAGCATATCTGAGCCAAAAACTCATAAAAAAAAAAAAAACTACCCCAAGTGACAGGATGGCAAGGCCAGATCAATGGGCAGACATTTCGATCTCTAAAAGCACAATCCTAGGAGTTGTAACTCAGTGGTAGAGCATATGCTTAGCATGCATAAGGCTAAGCTTCAATTCCCAGTACCTCCCATAAAACCAAAACCTCAGCCTCTCCCTTAGGAATCACCCCTCCAGAGAGGTCAATGTTATCTACCCTTGTTTTCTTTAAACTAAATGTTCTTACAAAATAACTGACAAAGTAGAGCAAAAGAAACAGCCCTTCCCACCCCAACTCTGATCCACTGACAGACAGCAGTATAGTAAGGGTCCACTGGGGGTGGGTTATGAATGTTAAGGCTGCCAAAAGCATCCTCAAAATAAGAAAATAAACTCAAAGTGATTACATTCTCCTGAAAGGCCTGTGGAAACAGAAGACATAATTATTATGTTGACAATGAGCACTGTAGTTTGTCTGATTGTCCTAGAGCAATCAAGCAAAATATGTAGCATTCTGGCAAAATGGAAACACATCAGGTTTGTACCAAAGTCAGTTTCCGTGTTTAAAAACATGCCTGGGTTTGTCTGGGAAAGAAGCAAAGGCCTGGAGATAACTGAACTCGTCAGCTTATTTTATGTTTTGAATACCTGCAGATATCTTCCAGTTCATCAGAGGGCAAAAGAAAACCCAACTACATTTCTGTCTGTGGTTCATGCAAAACCAGCCACTTGGACTAAGTGATGTGCTTTTTCATCTGGTCACCCCAAACCCCTTTGCTGAAGAGACAGAAAATAGGGTCAGGAATAACTCTATACATTCCACACAGCTTTAAAAAAGTGTACTAAAAACCAGGAGAATTACACTTGAATTTCTGATTCATAAGACATTCTCCTAGGGTCATGGGGCCTTGTTTTCCTGTTTGATGACACCATCATTTGAGATGTGAAATTATGGCAGTCTTACATAGCAATGGTAACAATCCTGATTCAAGGGAAGAACGTAATGCTTCATATGGCCACAACCCTCCAGAAGAGATCCAAGTAATATTTCTAGGCCAAGTTTCTCCTTGATGGATAACATATAAACAGATGGATGCTATATCTAATCTGTGCAACACTCCCTAAAAAACTAGTAGGTCAAAGATGTACTTTTATCTACCATTTAAAAAAAAAAGTTTCCCAGAGCATCATACAGAACAAAAAGCAAAGCTAGGTTTATAATGTGCATGGCCCATACAAAGAAAGGCAGACTGGCCTAGGTCCCCTGGGTTGCTGCTGCTAGAAGAAATCTGGTCATGCCCTGATAGAGCTCCTCAACCCTACAGAAATCTACCTGGCCTCTTATGTTTCTCTTCCAAATTGAGATTCTTATATTAGGTTTTTGAAGGATCAAGCATATACATAGTTCACACATACATGTAATGATTCTGTTTTCCTAGTCTCATTTGGACCCTTCTACCCAATGCTCAGGCTATTGGTAGAAAGGCTGCTCAGGCGCAGCAAACAGATGGTCATAACACCTTCTCCACAGGAAATGGCAAGTGAACATTTCCCGAAAATTAAACCTTGCCAGTGGGATTTCATGGACAGAAGTTCATTACAGCCCTTTCACCTGAAAAGAAAACAAGAGTCCCCTAGGAAAGCAGAATTCAGAGAGCTAGTAAAAGAGCTCAGAGGCAGGGTGCTTGGAAGCAGGGTACACAGAGAACAGCAGCCTTGCGGGAAACAGGGATGCAGCCTGGTATGCTGAACAGAACAGAGGCCAACACAAAGGGTGTCACTCACTGGTTAGGTGACCTTGGGAAAGTCCCTTAAGTTTTTGCTTCTCAGTATCCTTATCTGTGGAACTGGAGTTGTAACAAATGTAACAATGAGAGCTGGGGGTAGGGGTGAGATTCAGTTCTATTCTAGCATGTTCAGGGTGCTGGCACTGTGCGGGATTGGTGGGGGGGAGGGAGGCGGCTGTGGTGGGATCTTGTGAGGAAAGGTCAGGATCATTATTGGGAATTTAACTAGATGAGTGAATGAATAAATAAGGATAAAACCAGTCAATAAAGGATAAAAACCTAAGAATGTATTTTGAAGTAATTACCTTCTTTAAGACTCAGGAAGTAATAAAAATGTATTTTCTATCAGGAGGCCACATTTTCTACTTTGGATGCATCTTTGTTTGGGCAGAAATCCTGTAGGTCAGGATTATGCTTCAAAAAATCACCTTTGATATCTCTCACCCTCAGGGATCTTCCAAAATGCTTTTTCCAGAAAGAGTCCCACACAACAGTTGCTTTTTCTCTTGGACCCCTTGGAATTTCACTCCACTGTCTCTTATATAAGAGATGCACTATTGGAAACATCTCCAAGTTCCACTCTGCCCTATTCTCACTTCTGCTGCTCCGTCTCCTTCTTCCCACACTCTAACATCACTGGCTAGAACAGCTCTTGAAAAAGACTCTGGTCTGGGAAGGAGTACCACAGTTCATGTACTGACTCCGGCCGGAATTGCACACTTACCACCATCAACTCAGAAAAGCCAATCCTCAGTCCCACGTGTCAAACACTGGGCCTCAAGGAGACAGGTTATCATTTGCTGAGAAAACAGCTCACTCATAAAGCAGGGTCACACAGTCACTTTAAGAGGTATTCCCAAAGATTTTAACAGATACAGGAATAAATTATTGCCTCTGGAGTGATTTGCCAACCTGAGGATTGTAATAAATTCTAAAACAGCCTCCCCAGCACAACTCTCTTTATTTTTCTCTCCAATCACCTCAGCTGTCTTTGACCCCCTCAACACAGTCTAAACCCTCAGCTCTGCACCACGGGCCTTCTCCGTGGAGAAAAGATGGAGTCGGATTAAAACTAAGGGGACTAAGAAGCCATTGCAAGCACACCCTGCGGGAAGTATCAGTGTAACAGTAGTCTCAATTCCTTCCTTCCAAAGAGCTGGCACTGCCTGTGGCGATATAGGAGGGCTGGCTTGTGGACGGTTACAAAGCTCTCCACCCACTGAAATACTGTTGTCCCTGAACCCAGGCCACCAGGCTCCAGAACTTTCAACACTGAAAAGAACCAGGCCCCTCCCCCTGCGTGTGCTGCAGGAGCCCATAGGAGACACTGTAGGCCCCTGGCTTTTTCTGAAATTACAGGAGAAGCTGCAGTTAAATCCGCAAGCCTGCACCACCGCATGGCTGCCAAGGTCTGGCCACAACTGAATGGCTAGAGATAACACCTCCCCAACAGGTGAGACTAGCCCGGGGTCAACTGATGTATCCAGCTCCCAACAGGCTTAGTTGACGAAAGCAAATGACATCAGCAAAGGCAGGCAATACTAAAACCAAGAAGGGCTAAGTGGGTGAGAAGGACCGACAGGTCTTGCTTCGCCCACAAGTTGTGGCTCAGGCCACCAAGACCTACTAAATGCGGGGCAGGAAAGTTCAGAACATAGTGGGGTAAAAGAGCTCGCAGCGCCCCCAGCCCCGGGCTCCCAGGCTCCAGTGCCATCTGCCACCTGGCACCGGCTCAATCACCTTGAGGTAGTCGTTCTCCGAGCGCAGCTCCTCCATCTCCCGAAGCAGCTCCTCCTCCTCCACTGCCGGCCCCGGCACGAGCCGGGGCTGCTCATCCGGGCTGGGCTCCTTGGGCGTCCCGGGGACGGCTCGCTCAGGTGGTACGCGTCCCCCAACATCCTCCGTCGCACCCGATCCGGGGGACCCTGGGGCCACCCCGCTGAGACTGCTCCGGCCCCCCAGACAGGCAGCGGCGACCTGGGGTGCAGCGAGGAGTGCGGGGGGGTCGGGGCTGGCGGGCGGCGCCCCCCGGGCTGCTCCTCGCGGGGGTTCCCGGTCACTGGAGCCGGTGCCCGACTCGGCGTCGCTGCTGGCGGCGGGGAGCAGGCGCTGCTCATCGGAAAGGGGCTCCGAGGGGCAGTCGGAGAGGTCGGAGCTGCTGTCCGTGTGGCTGGTACGCGGGCTGGGGGTCAGGGGGCCGGCCGCCGAGGTCACAGAGAGGGTCACGGCTGGGATCGGGGCGGCGGGGGGCAGTAGACCGACGGCGCGCGCGGGGGGCACCCCGGAGCCGCGCTTGGCTTTGCGGCCCTTG